CAGGGAATCTTCCCCTCCAGGCTGGCGGGGGTGGGGGGCGGCGCCAGCCTCTCAGAGGCCACCTCGACCCAGTCCGAGCGGTGGACGCCCGCCGAAATGGATGCCCAACAACAGCTCTTGCCCGACACCAGCTGCGGCCGCTCTTCGGGCAGGCGGCCCTCAAGTGCTCTCCGCCCCCCCTCCCTCGCCTCTGATCGGGGAGACGTAAGACCCGGGTACGGGGGACTCGGAAGTCCCCGACGAGGTCGTCGAAAAAATGACGAGGCCGAGCCTGCATTTTGACGAGGCCTCCCGCTGCAGACATCCCACAAAACTCCTCCTCGTCAAAATCCGAGTCGCGGTCGTCAAAAAACGATGGCGAACCCGAGTCCCGGCAAACCCGGGTCTTACGCTCCCCCGATCTGAGTCCTATACGCCCTGCGGCCCCGCCGGCCGCGGCGCCCGGAGCCCGCGGGTCCTCCGGCGCGTGCTGGGCGCTGCCGCGGCCGCCGCCGCGGCCGCGAGCGCGCCGGCCGCGCACCGCGGCCGCCGCCCGCTGCCGGGCGCCTGCGCGCGGCCCGTCAGCCCCGACGGGCCGCGGCGGCCGTCGCGCGCCCGGCGGGCCGCGCGGGCCGCGCCGCCGCCCGCGCGACGCGCTGCGCCGCCCAGGCCGTCGGGCCGCCGTCGGGCCGTCGTCGCGCGTCGTCGTCGTCGTCGTCGTCGTCGTCGTCGTCGTCGTCGTCGTCGTCGTCGTCGTCGTCGTCGTCGTCGTCGTCGCCGCCGCCCGCGGCCGTCGCCCGCGGCCGTCGCGCGCCCGCGCGATGCGCGCCGCCGCCCGCGCGCCGCTGCGCGCCGCGGGGGGGCCCGCCCTGTTCCGCCCCGCTGCGAGACCCCGGCGCTGCTGGACGAAACCCACGACGGGGAGTTTTTCTGGTTTGTTTCCAACCCAACCGAAGATTCCAGAATCAAATCCCATAGCATTTGAGAGAGATCAATTGGAATTGGAGTTGGGCTGGTAGTTCCAGTCCGCAGCGAAGTCGCACACAATACAGGCTTGAGTTGTCGCCAGGGAAAGGTATCTAGAAGGATTGGGGTTTGTTTCCTCCGTTTTCGGCCCTCGCCGGGCCCTCGCCGGGCCCCTGGGATCCTGGCGTCTCAACTTGTTCGCGTTTCCTCTAATTCATTGGCAGGTGTACGGGGTAGGTCGGCGGGTTCACCAGTATTACCATCTCTGCAGCCGTTTAGCTTCTTTGTTTTCGCTGGGCGCTTACAGGCCCCTGGGCCACTCCATTTCCAACCCAACCGAAGATTTCAGAATCAAATCCCATAGCATTTGAGAGAGATCAATTGGAATTGGAGTTGGGCTGGTAGTTCCAGGCCGCAGCGAAGTCGCACACAATACAGGCTTGAGTTGTCGCCAGGGAAAGGTATCTAGAAGGATTGGGGTTTGTTTCCTCCGTTTTCGGCCCTCGCCGGGCCCTCGCCGGGCCCCTGGGATCCTGGCGTCTCAACTTGTTCGCGTTTCCTCTAATTCATTGGCAGGTGTACGGGGTAGGTCGGCGGGTTCACCAGTATTACCATCTCTGCAGCCGTTTAGCTTCTTTGTTTTCGCTGGGCGCTTACAGGCCCCTGGGCCACTCCATTTCCAACCCAACCGAAGATTTCAGAATCAAATCCCATAGCATTTGAGAGAGATCAATTGGAATTGGAGTTGGGCTGGTAGTTCCAGGCCGCAGCGAAATCGCAAACAATACAGGCTTGAGTTGTCACCAGGAAAAGGTATCTAGAAAGATTGGGGTCTGTTTCTTCCGTTTTCGGCCTTCGCCGGGCCCCTGAGATCCTGGCGTCTCAACTTGTTCGAGCCGGGCGTGCTCGCCCTGCTTCGGGCCCCGGGACCCGCACAGGTCGATCTGCCTCGAGAGATGGCGCGGAAAGATGGAGTCTGGGGCTCTGGGCGCGATGTTGTAGGATGCTGCAACTTCTGCGCCACGTCGGCTCTCAGGGGCCGTCGAGAAACGACTCGGGATGAGACTCTGGCCCTGGGAAGCGGGTCGAGATTCTGGGGGCCGACGTCAGGTCACAACCACGGCGTTGGGGTCTGTGCGCATCGCATTTTTGTGGGTCTGGCGCTTTCGCATGATCTCGGGCATATGGGGACCTCACAGATCAATCCAACTCGAAAAATGCAGCAGAAAAATGGGGCCGGCTCCAGTCGTGATTTTCTGCGATGTGGCAAGTTTTCGCAACGTCGGATCACAGGGCCTGTCTGATCTTCCATAGAGGTCTCCTAGATGGGGTCCGAGTAGATGGAGTCGGAAGATCGCGCCGCATCGCCAATGCATCGGCGATGCATCGGCGACGTCGGCGAGGCATCGGCGACGCTAGCGCGGAGAAAATCAAGCTTCACATCGAGCCGCATCGGCGATGCATCGGCGATGCATTGGCGATGCCGTGCGATCCTCGGACCCCATGTACTTGGAACCCATCGCCACAAAGAGTCCCCTCAAGCAGTCCCCAAGCAGCCCCAAAGGTATCCCCAACAGGCCCCCGGGAGCGCTCCGAAGAGACCCCATGAAGCTCCTCTGAGGACTTCGACCCACAATGCAGGCACGCTGGCGGGATGGGTCGAAGGCCCATTGATCCGCCGTCCCCTGTTGGCTTGCCACAAATGGGTCTGGCTTGCTGGACCCTACTGCAGGTTCGTGTCGTGTCGACCCCGGCGTTGGTTCCCGACATCGCGCTGGATCGTTCAACCTTGAACGATCGGCCGTCTCCGCAACGTCCGATCGTTCAACATCGACCGATTCTGGGCCGCCGTCGGCGTTCAAGGTTGAACGCCCGCGCTGGGGTCGCCGCTGGTCGACACGACGCGAACCTACCGTACCAACCTTGGCTTTGGCTCTTCCCCAAAACACAAAAAAAAACACCGGGCTTCGGCCCAACGCGCCGGCCACCCCGGAAGGGACCGGCAAGCACCGCAGCGTGCGCAACAAATTCTCCAAGACGACCCAAGATGGCCGAGGGCAAGATGGCTTCCCAAGTTCGCCCAAGAAGGTCCAAGATAGCCTCCAAGACTGCCCACGAGGGATCAGGATGTCTCCGAGACCGTCCAAGAAGCCTCCAAGATGGCCCCAGAAGCCCCCAAGAGGCCTCCAAGAGAGCCCAAGAGGCCTCCTGGAGGTCCTCCAGGAGGGCCCGAAGAAGCCTAAATCATTGATCCTCAGTCGGTGTTTGACAGATTTTGCCCGTTGCATATTTTTGCCCATCCGACTGCCCAGGACGGCCCAAGATCGCCCCCAAGATCGCCCCAACATGGCCTCAAGGGCCTCCAAGCTGACCCAGGACGCCACAAGAAGCCTCCGAGACGGTCCCAAGAGGGCCTCAAGTCGGCCCGAGACGCCTCCAAGACGCCCAAGATGGCCTCCAAGACGACCCAAAATGGTCCAAAATGGCCTCTTCGATGACCCAAGAGGGTCCAAGATGCGTCCTAGTCCGCCAAAGAAGCCTCCAAGACGGCCCCAGAGGCCCCCAAGAGGCTTGCAAGACGGCCCAAGAGGCCTCCAAGAGGTCCTCCAGGAGGGCCCGAAGAAGCCAACATCATCGATTTTCCGTAGATGTTTGGAGAATTTTGCCTCGTGCCTTTTTTAAACGCATCCAAAACTATTTTCGACAGCAGACGGGCCAGGAACACACTAAAACGGCCCAAGACGCCACCAAGAGTCCCAGAAGGCTCCCAAGAGGCCCGAGGAGGCTTCCAAGAGGCCTCCCAAAGGCCCGCAGGAAGCTCCCAGGAAGCCCCAAATGTCTTCCCCTCCTCCACCTCCTCCTCCTCCTCCCTCCTCCTCCTCCTCCTCCTCCTCCTCCTCCTCCTCCTCCTCCTCCTCCCTCTCCTCCTCTCTCTCCTCCTCCTCCTCCTCCTCCTCCTCCTCCTCCTCCTCCTCCTCCTCCTCAGCCTCTTGAACCTTCTCCGCCTCCTCCTCCTCCTCCTCCTCCTCCTCCTCATCCTACTGCCCTCCTCCTCCGCTTCTCCTTTCTCCCGCGTGTTCCCCGAAGGGTGTCCACAGCGGCTGGGGAAACACATGGTCCGATAGCTTGGCAGAGCTCCGGCCACAACGTTCGACCACAGGGGCGATTCCAACAGGCAGAGAGCGGCAATGATTCGCACAAGGCGCCTTCGATCCTCGGCATAGGAGCCCGAGGTACACCCTGCGAAATGCTTAAGAAATCATGGGTTAAGAAATCCATGGTCTCAGAAATTGAATAAAACCCAGAACTTCTACCAAAATCTTGGGATTCACATTGGAAAGTTAAGAATAATCGAGACTCTGGCCGAAAACGTAAGTTTTCTTAGGCATCGCATAAGGTGTATGGGTCTCCTGGGAGCAGGCAGGCTCTGCCCTCCAAGCCAGGACCTCTGGGACGTGAGCACTCTGGACAGTCGAGGCCCGATGTTGTGATTTTTTCAGAGCGTCCACCCGCAGAGACCTCGACCCCTCCCCCAGGACTGGTTTTTCCTCCTGGGTCGCTCTTTTGAAGGGGCCCCAGGACACACAAATAAATACACACAAATAAAAGGATTCCCCATATTTTCCTATATTTTCTTGGTTTTGTCTTCCCCCACCACCTCCCATATTTTCCCATATTTTCTGGGAAATCGACGATTGATTGTGTCTGTGTGTTTCTTTCCCTCCTGATCTGTGACGCTCCCGAGGCCCGGTGGAAGGCCTCCGGAGGCCGGCACTATCGCGAAACGCCTGCCGTCGTGATTTTCGTCGCAGAGCGCGGGGATCCGGGAGGTCCAGGGCCCGATGGCGCCGCGCGCCGACCGATCCTCTTTTCTCCCCTCCCCCCCCTCGAGGGAGGGCGCCCGCCCGGCGCCGCCGAGGGGCCGCGGCGGCCGCTCCGCGCCCGCGGCGCGGGAGGCCCGCGGAGGGCGCCGCCGATCTCGAGCACGGCGCGCCGGTCGCGGGCCGACCGCGCCGAGCGGGACGCCGCTCGTCCGCGCCAGGCCGATCCCAGACCCCCGCGAGTCCTGCGAGACTGGTGGCGGGCGGCTTGTCGCCATTCTTGTCGGCCCAGCTGGGGGCCCTCGCCGGGCCTCGGGGCCGCCGTCAGAGAAGAAACACGGCTCGGTGGACGTCGCCATGTTTTTTCGGCCTCTGGGGGGCCCTCGCCGGGCCTCGGGGCCGTCAGAAAAAAAACGGCTCGCGATGGAGAACCAGTCCCGGGGAATGGGTCGAGGCCTCTGGGGTTCGACGTTGTGAGAGCATCCAAACGTCGGGAGGCTGGGGCCGCGGCCGCTGGGCGTCGCTTGCAGTCAAGCCGTATAGCAAGGCTGCGCGAGAAGGATGCCAGAGGGCCCTGGACGGCCACGTCGGCGCTTCTCGAGCGGGGCACGGCCAGCGAAGGTGGCCAAGGATGGGCCGAGGAGGCCAGGATGCAGGGGCAGCCTTGGGAAGGTTGCTCATCCTCACCCTGCGGGCTGACTGTAAGGGGGGGGGCGCTAAGGTAAAGGTACACTTCTCGGGGCCGGAGAGGAAAGGCCGCCTTCTTCGGGCCCCGAGGGGCCCGAAAAGGGACTAGGAAGGCCCCTTTGCTGCAGCCTTCGCTGCCCCCCCCCTTCGTTTCTCGCCCGCCCATTGCGCGCCGCCCCAACGCCGACCGCGCCCGAGTTTGTCTGGGAGGCCTCCGGTCGGGGCCAACTCTGGTCCGGCCCCCCCGACGCACGAGCCAGGTGATCCTCTTGACCGCCCCCAGCGCCGACGATTCGGGAGGGGCTCTGCGCATGAGTTGTCTGGGACAGCCAGGGCAACTCTGGTTTGGAACCCTGAGGTGCAAATCCGGAGGTACCCCCCTGACCACACCCCAGCCCCTGATGACTCGGAGCTCTGACCGAATGCCCCTGAGAACCGGGCGCTGCAGTGTTTTTACAAAGGGCACTTTCGCCCAGTTTCGGCCTGGTCCTCCTCCTCCTCCTCCTCCTCCTCCTCCTACACCTCCTCTTCCTCCTCCTCCTCCTCCTCCTCCTCCTCCTCCTCCTCCTCCTCCTCCTCCTCCTCTTTGACGTTGGCCAGACTCTAGGCATGATGCTCGCAAAGTTCTTGTGGCACATGGTGCAACCAAAGTACCGACTTAGCGCTGTGCTGGGCAAACTAAGGCGGATCAAGCGGCAGACCCGTGCGGTAAAGGAGATATGCATAGGATGGGACATCAGCCTCCTCCTACCTCCTCCTCCTCCTCCTCCTCCTCCTCCTCCTCCTCCTCCTCCTCCTCCTCTTGAGATACCGGCGCCGCACAATGTCCTGAGAACGGGCTTTGTTTCGCCCGTCTTCGGGCCACGGGGCACGAAACGGACCGCTCCGGCTCGAAAGATGCCGCAGGAAGCTGGGGGTCCAAGGCTCTGGTCGTGAGCTGTCGCGGCGTGCCAGCTTTTCCGACGACAACGACGACGCCGACGACGACGACACCGACGACGACGACGGCGCCGACGCCGACGACGACGGCGACGACGGCAACGATGACGCCGACGACAACGACGCCGACGGCGCCGACGGCGCCGACGCCGACGCCGACGGCGCCCACGGCGACGGCGCCGACACCGACGACGACGACGACGTCGACGACGACGACGTCGACGACGACGCCGACGACGACGCCGACGACGACGACGACGACGACGACGACGCCGCAACGTCGGATCTCGGGGGCGGGCCGCGCCGCGGCTGGCACACGCTGCGGCAGCCGGCGCGCGTCCACGAGCAGCTGCGAAGGCCGATCCCGTGCCGTCGCTCGGACGCCCATGCCCCGCTCGGCGATCTGGGGACATTGGGCGCAGACGACCCCGATTTTTTGCGTCGCTCATATGACGACTACACGCAAGAGTGCCCCTGGGTAAGAGTGACCTTTGGTGCGCGGCTTTGGGGGGGAACCGCGGGGGGGCCAAACACGAGCGCGCAAGACGCTACTGCCGCATCGCGCTCGGCGACGGGGGGACCCCATTCGGCCCGCACCAAAGGTCACTCCGGCGAAAGGTCACTCTCACGTGTAGTGGAATGTGTCTGGGAACGTGACCCCGAGACGTCTCCCCGAAGCCAGTGGAGACGAGGGCGCTTACGCGCGACATTACGCGGGCAGCTTACGCACCAATGTAGGCGCATACGACCCCGTTTCTTTGCGTCGCTCGTCGTGCCGTCGCCCCGACGCCCGTTCCTCGTACACTGTTTGGTCTCGTGCGTGTGGTCCTTGCTGCTCGAGGATCCAGGATGCTCCTCGATGGCCCTCGACGGGGAAACATAAACACACGTCCGAGCGATGCCAAGATCCACGACCACCTCAGACATCTCGACGTGTCTGCGCGCGGTCTCCATCCGCAGCGCTGATCTCCAGCAGGGGCTTCGTGCCTTCACACTTGCGCGGCCTTGCAGCAGTCTCCTCTTCCTCCTCCTCCTCCTCCTCCTCCTCCTCCTTTCCAGAAGTTCCCGGAACTTTCGAAGACGGCGGCAAACCCCCATGAGCCACTCTGAAACCCTCCCCCTCCGCACCATCGGCCTCCGCACCCACGAGCTCTCGCACATCTCAGCTCGCTCAAGGTGCTCGTTTTGAGGCTGTGCCTCTGTGCTGCCGGTGCCGCCCCGCCCGTTCTCCGCTGCTGCTCGGCTCACTCTCCCCCGAGGCTGTGTCTCCCGTGCCCATGCCTTCCTGGACCTGTGTCTCTCTGCTGCCTCCTGCTTGCCGTCCGCTGCCTTCCGTCTGTTTTTCTCCCTCCTTCAGCGGCGTCTGCGCCCTTGACGACTTCTCGTGTCTTTGCGTGCCTGGCGGTCCTCAGTCTCACGTCGTGGGGCCAGTTGTGCGTCGGTTTTGGGTGAGGGAGATATCGCTCCGAAGCCCTCCGAGGCCTTGGCTGGAGGCAGGCGACGGCCCCCCCCCCCCCTTCCCCCTCCGCCCTCCTGCTTCTGCTGGACTGGACCTCCTCCTCATTCTTCTTCTCCTCGTCCCTCCCTCCCCTGCCCTCTCCCTCTACTGCTGCTCCGTCTCCTGCTTCTCTACCGAACCTACACTCTCCATCTCAGCCTCCTTCCACTACCCCTCCTCCTTCCCCTCCTCCTTCCCCTCCCCCTGCCCTTCCTCCACCTCCTCCTCTTCCTCCTCCTCCTCCTCCTCGTCCTTCCTCCTTCCCGCTCTCCCTCCCTCTTCGCCACGCTCATCCCTCCTCTCGCCTCCTCCTCCTCCTGCATGTCCTCCTCCTCCTCCTCCTCCTCCTCCTCCTCCTCCTCCGACGACGACGACTGGAGAGGAGAACCCATCGGGACCACGGCTGCGCTCCCACACGGCCCGAATCAGCTCAAAATCGATCCCTGGACCCTCCCCGGGGTCCGTCCTGCCCACAACTCTTCGCGGCAAGAGCGGCCGTGGCGACGAGAAGCCTTCCGGGAGGCGCCCCCTGACAAGGACAAACAACACCGCGGGGGACGGCCGCCGCTGAACCTCGACCCTGGCTCTCCTCCGAGACGACTGCGACATGAACGTGAAACAAAGGCTTGGGAAACCAAACTGTACCGATGCCGCTGCTCCCCAAACCTCGCTGGGGATGCGTTCCGAACAGAAGTTCGAGGCGACTCCGGCCGCGGCGACAGGGGCCTCCCAGGATGCCCCGAGCGGCGAGCACGGGGCAAGGGCAGCGGTATGGGCAACTTACCTCTCCCTCCTTTGAAGAACGAGGACGAGGACGACAACAACGACGACGGCGGTGGCGGAGACGACGGCGATGACCTGCCGCGGGGACAGAGGCCTCCCAGACGGGGTCTGAGCAGATGGGGTCGGAGGCTCGTGCCGCATCACCGATGCATCCGTGCCGTCGGCGGTGCATCGGCGACGCCAGCGGGGAGGACATCGGGCTCCGCATTGAGATGCATCGGCGATGTAACGGCGATCATGCGCGACCTTCCGACCTCACCTACCGCGGGTTCGTGCTGTGTCGACTCAAGCATTGGTTTTTAACACCGCGGGGATCGTTCAACCTTGAACGATCAACCATTTCAGAAACGTCAGACCGTTCAACATCGACAGGTTATGGGTCGCTAGCTGGTCGACACGACGCGAACCTACCGTTCTCGGACCCCACCTGGAAGGCCTAGATAGAGACCTCCTAGATGGGGTCCGAATAGATGGGGTCGGAGGATCGCGTCGCATCGCCGATGCATCGGCGATGCACCGGCGATGCACTGGCGACGTCGGCGATGCATCGGCGACGTCGGCGTGTAGAACATTGGACCCTACATCGGGTCGCATCGCCGGTGCATCGCCGATGTATCGGCGATGCGGCACGATCCTACGACCTCACCCACTCCGGCCCCATCTGGGAGGCCTACATGAAGAAGGAAACCTACATAAACATAAACTTTTGGCGCTCCGCGCGGATTTCTTGGATCCGCGCTGGGCCCCCCCTACGGCGCCGCGCGCCAGGGAGGGGGTCCAGCGCGGATCCAAAAAATCCACGCGGAGCAGTTTATATTTATGTAGTTTCCCTTCTCCTTCTTCTAGATTATGCTTATGATGTTTGTGGCGTTCTTTCTTCTTCGACTTAGAGGGGAGGGGGGCAAGCTCGACGGGTGGCCGGGGCGGCAGCGGCGGCGGCGGGCGCGCAGGGATGCGGGAGGCCTTCCAAGAAGGGGGTTGGGGTGGGGGCGGTGGGGGGGCGCGGGGGGCAGGCCCTGCGCCCGCGCCCCCTAGGGCAGGGGGGGATGAGGGGAGGAGGATGAGGCGGGGAGGGAGGAGCGGGATGACGGTGATGATGGCGATCATGATGAGGATGGTGAAGGTGGTGATGATGACGATAATGCTGATGATGATTATGGTGATGGTGATGATGATGCTGACGATCCTGATGATTCTTATGATGACGATGCTGCTGGTGATGATGGTAACGCTGGTGGTGATGATGATGACGATGGTGGTGATGACGATGATACCGATGAGGATCACGATGATGCTGATGAAGATGGGGATGGCGATGATGATGATGTTGATGCTGATGATGACGATATTGTTGATGATGATGACGATGATGCTAAATATGATTATGATGACCATGATGATGAT